TGAGACACGAATTCCTGACATGAAGGAATTCTGAAAGGAGGAAAGGTAGGATAAACAGTTGCAACTATGCAACCAACCCTACTCCAGTGAAGAAAATCACTGTCCTGGCCAAAGATCACTACAGTAACAGTGCTGCCTGTTGTAGCCACTGCCCTTCTCCTCAGCACACAAGACAAACTCAGACTTGCACACAGGTGTGCCAGCTCTTGGCTATGTAAAAGACAAGATTCTGTGGTAAAGTGTATCCATGAGAACCACTATTCAAGTCTTCCAGAGATTATTACAGTCAGAAATGGAAGGCAGCCAGAAAGGAAAAACCCATGTGTCCTCTCTGCAAGACCAGATTTTAAAGAAGGCCTCACAAGGAAGAGACTTACCCACCTCTTATCTGCTGACTGCGTGGAAGTCAGTGGCACAGGGTGAGCCCTGGGTGTGAGAGGGAAGCATGACAGAGCAGAAGCTGGAAATTCCACACCACCACTAGATTTTAAAGGGCCACAGCATTCACAACATTTGCTGACTTAGCCAAGAGAAGGGCAGTCTGAGGTAAGGAATCAGTATCTGGAAGGGAAATGGACCAGGGAATGAACACTGGTTTGACTTCATGCAAATCTTCTCAAAGAAGGAACTGGAATTTGGTAGGAGAGGGTCCAGCGTGGGTGAGAATCGAAGGGAACAGGAAACACTGAAGTGGCTCCTCTGCATTATCATCTCTGAGGAGCCAACTCATGGCAAGAACATGCAAAAGCTGTGACTCTTTTCCTTAAGAGGAAGAGCCAATGACACGGAGGAAATTTTGCTTTTTAGAATTCTCTTGAGAAATAGTACAGGGTATTTTTTTGAAATAAGTTTGTTTGTTTGTTTGTTTGTTTGTTTTGGCAGAACTGGGGATTGAATGCAGGCCCTTGGGCTTGCCAGGGAAGCACTTATTCCACTGAGTCAACTCCCCAGTACCTCAAAGAACAGATTTCTTTCTTTCTTCTTTTTTTTTTTTTTTTTTTTTTTTTTTTTTTTTTTTTTTTTGCAGAACCAGGGATTGTATTTAGGCCCTTGTGCTTGCCAGGCAAGCACTTATCCTAATGAGCTATCTCCCTGGCCCTGAAATAAGTATATTTAAAGCCACCAAAATCTTTAAAATTAGCAGATAGTTTTATAATCTTTAGTTCTTTAAAATTAGAAAATAAAATTTGTATTTAAAATCTTTTAAATCCTTAAAATTATAAGAAATAAACTTGTCATTAAAAACATTTTTAATGTTAAAAACATTGTTTTTAATTAAAGACATTGTTTAATAAATTTAAATTAAAAGTTTACATCAGTAAATACTTAAAAGAGCACCGGACAAGTTTAATTTCAGATGCTACTTTAAGAAGGAAGATACTATAAGACTGAACCAGAGTTTATCATGGATTCTTCACCATTTTGTTTTCCACAGTTAGGTTCACTAGTGTTATCAGATGAGAAGGTGTTATTTTATAAATTTAATTGGAAGTGCAAACTAATATGTAAGAGTCTGACTTGATGACAAAATTCCAAGTAATTGATGACCTTTATTTTTAGATTTCACTTGAAATTATATAAATTTATTTTGAAATTAGTAAAAACTAATTTTAGAATATCACTCATATAATTATCAAATCATTTTTTAAAAATCATCCAGCTTGATTTTGTTTCTTAAAAAGACTTACCTAAGAGGACAAATCCATCAGCCTCTACCTCTGACACTGAAGGCTGCTTAGGTTCTGGGGGCTTTCTGAAGAAGTGAAACATTGCTGTTGCTACTGCTGCTATCTGAAACAGAAATGCCATATAATATCAAGCTCAGAGGAAACTAAGAAACTTTTACCCTTCTTAGTGAAAACCCAAATACAAAGATACCCCAGTATATTCTTAGAATTCTACTGTCAGACTTAAAACCATGAGTCTTCTCTAATATCCCAAATTCTGGTACATGGACTTGCAGTTTTAATATCCTACATGCTTTGAAATTTATAATGCGACTTCTGTCTCTTAAGGTTCAGAAAACAAACAAAATCATTCCATGTAAAGCTAAAACCAACAGTTAATATTAAAATCTGGAAGGTTCTCACTAACAATAAACATTAGCTTGAAAAAAGAAAAGTAAATGCAAAAATCTGTCCTGGTTGGTGGGTGGGTGGGTGGGTGGGTTGGCTGGTTGGTTGGTTGGTTGGTTGGTTGATTGGTTGGTTGGTTGGTTGATTGGTTGTTTGGTTTTTGGTACCAGGGATCAAACTCAAGACCTTGCACTAGCCAGGCAGGTGCTATGTCACGGAGCTATCTCCCCAGCCTTCTTCTGTCATCCCATAACTATCTAATGCCTCATAAAACTTAGGTCATATATAAAAAGGTAAGAAGGTTCTTCAGTCTACTGTTGGTTACCTGATTCAGAAACGCAAATATGATAGCACTGATTATAACACTGCAGCCAACTTTAAATCCTGACCAGTGAAGATCTTTGTGTTGATATTATTATACACATATCCCACTACACACATACACCCCTAATTCTCCTATACCATTCTAATTTACATGAAAGAAAAGTAAAATATTCTAGAAAACTGGGATGAAAGATGGAGGGTACTCAAGGACACATTATACTTATAATCAGAGAGATAATAAGAGAAGAAAAAATCCTCATAGCAGCAAGCTCTTCAATTTTACTTTTCTTATATTCTGCCCATACCAAAACACAATCAAGAGTAGATAAGAATTAATCCAGTTCCAGTGCTGACGAGTAGCTATGGCAGCATGGCCTGAAAACTCGGAACAGTGAGGTACTAGCGCCCTACGGGTCTGTAGTGGTGATGGAACTTTATTAGGGATCTTGGAAACATTGCCAAAATGTCTGACATTAAAGAAGCTACTACCCAACTCTTTAATGTTAATCTTCGTGAGAACCAGAGATCCATACCAGTGACAGAAGAAAGTGACAGCAAAGATGAGTCTGAGCATCTCCACGTCATTATTGAAGCCACTGTCCTTACTGGCTTAGAGCAAACAGCTGCAGATGAAATCAGAGAGAAACTGGGGTCATCTTACAAAATCAGAAAGATTGGGGCAAGACATATTTTGACAGTTCAGTGGAAAGTCTGGCACAGGTTCATTGTCTGAGATCAGTTGATAACTTATTTTTGGTTCTTGAGAAGTTTAAAGATTCCCAGTTCAAAATAACAAAGGAAGAAGCTCTGAAAGATTTTGAATACTTGGCTAGAAAACTCCCATGGTCAGATCCTTTAAAAGTATGGGAAGTTAACACTTTTTTCAAGAAGAAGAAAGCAAAGTGCAAAAAGATGGATGTGAATTCAAATAAAAAGAACATTGTAAACAGACAAGGAGACAAATTCGATGAAAGAGATGTTAGAGGATTTGTTAACAATGCTTTAGATTCACATATCCTTGACTATTACAAGAATCCAGCCATCAAGGAGGAGATATCAACATTAGTAGGTGATGACCTAGCATCTTCCAAAACTGAGACTGACGAACATTCCAAAGAAGAAACCTAGCCTCAGGTGTTAAAAGTTTAGAATCACAGGCAATAAGGCAGGTGAGAAACACTGCTTTACCTCAAATGAAGCTGCAAGAAATTTTAGGGGTGTTGTTCAGGTCATTTCAAGTGGAAAGCTGACATGACCGATTTTGATGTGGAGGTTCTCTTGAATAGCCATGATGAGGAAATGGTTGTGGGCATTGCACTGACTGAGGAGTCTCCACTGTAGAAATATTACATGTTTTGGACCTCCAGCTCTTAGATCAACTCTTGCTTGTGGGATGCTCAGGCTCTGTGCACCTCAACCTACTGATATAATAGCTGACCCAATGTGTGGAACAGGGGCAATACCAATAGATGGGGGCCACTGAATGGCCTGCTACCATATTGCTGGTGATAACAGTCCACTGGCTATAAAAAGAGCAGAGAATAACATCCATCTTTGACCAAGAGTCAAGTTCAAGAAGGCAACCCTTCTTGGTGTATGCCCATTAATCTGTTCAGTGGGATAGCTGCAATCTTCCATTGAGACCTGGCTCTGTGGATATCACTGTAACAGATATGCCATTTGGAAAAAGGATGGGCTCCAAAAAGAGAAACTGGAATCTTTATCCAGCTTGCCTGCAGGAGATGAGCCGTGTCTGTAGACCTGGGACAGGCTGAGCCATACTCCTTATCCAGGACAAGAAATGCTTTGCCAAGGCATTATCTAGAGTGGGACATGTACGGCAAAAGGTGCATAGAGTCTGGGTGAATATCGGGGGTCTTCATGCTGCAGTTTATCTTCTGAAATATCTCAAGCTTTTGTTCACTGTTCAGAGCAAGATGGACAAAGAGGGACACCTTGGTAATACAAAGAATGATGGTTAATAGTTTTCATACTTCCCAGCACTGGAAATGTCAGCACGAAGATAGAAATGCAATCTGTAGAATTTGAATTATCCCAAAGCTCTTCATGTTGGGTAGTGAAAGATGTGATTACAATGTATTATAATTAAACATTTAGGAAAGCAGAGCCTTTCAGAATTTTTTGAAGGTATGGCTGACAATTAGCATATCCTCTCCCCCAGGAGGTATTGAACTAAGGACCTTGGTACAGAACTATCTCCCCATCCTTTTATTCTACAGTACTGGGGATGAAACGCAAGACCTTCACACTGCACTACATCCCCAGCCCTTTCTACTCTGTTTTTATTTTTGATATTATGTCTTGCTAAGTTGCAAAGGCTGGACTTCAACTTGTGGTCTTCTTGTCTTAGCCTCCACCTTAATAATTTCTTTAAAATGCTTTACAGACTATTACAAGCTTACTAAAAGGCAAGAAAGAAAGAAAGAAAGAAAGAAAGAAAGAAAGAAAGAAAGAAGAACCAAAAGATAAGAATTGCAGGACTAGGGATATAGCTCTGTGGTATAACCACCTGTCTGGCAAGCACAAGGTCCCAAGTTCAATCCCTTGTACCACAAAAAACAAAAAACAAAAAACAACAACAACAAAAAAAAAAACAACAGAAGCTCAGAATTGTACTGGGATTTGCATAAGCTGTGTTGAGCTCAGTTGCATATCCAAGTTTATTCACACTGACATGATTTCCCTTTCTGAAAAAATGAAAAAAAAAAAAAACATGCAAAAAAAAAAAAAAAATTCCAGGAAAGGAAAAGGAACATCCAGTGAAATCCTCAAACAAAGTGCTCAAAGAAAAGTCTGAAAATCATTTGACACCCTCTCTAGAGCAGAAGAATACAGGGCTTCTATGAAAGCGGTAAAAAACAAGATTTGATCAAAAAGGAAAAGGAGAAGATGAAGAGATAAATGAAAACAGCAATTAAATAAGATAAAGAAAACTGCACACAAGGAAAATATGAAATCAGAAGAGAATTGTTTAGCTTGCAAGCAGGAAAACAAGAAAGAAGTTCAAATTGAAAGATATATAAGATTGGGAAAATAAGGCCTCTGAGAAGGTGTCTGAAGGAAAGATAGATAATTAAAAGTCCAGCTTGTGTAAGGCCAACATCAAAAGACATACTATCATGAGGGAAGGGGAGGGGAGAAAAAAAGAAAGAGAAAAAAGAAAGTAAAATATAAATATACACACAAGATAGTTAAGATATTTTTTTTTATAATTTTGTTGAGAAACAAATAGCAATGAGACAGTTTCAAAACCGATTAGTAGGACAGTTTCAGTAATTAATACATTGCATAATGTTGTCTTCTTAGTGGTTATTCATAGTACAAGATGCAGACATGATATCCTGTCCACAAACACTATTAGTAGAAATCTTTCAATTCACTGAATTAAGAGAAAGTACCTATATATCTATCCTATTTTGAATATACAGATGCAAAATGGTTGTTCATTTGTATCCCCTTTTTTTGTTTAGTTTTGTCAGAGAAGGGTATTCCATTGTCATGTAATATTGTAGGTGAGTGAATTCAGCAAAATATTTCAACATAGTCCAGTAGTCCATAATAGTAGTGGGTTACCCATAGGACTAGCAATGTCAGAAGTTGTTGACTTGAGCCTTTTACAGCTCAGCATATTAATATGGCTTTACTTTTTGTACTTCAATTTTATACTTTTCTGCTGGATGGTTAAGACCAAGATAAAGCAAGACCCATATAATAAGAAATGTAACTTTTGTATCTGACAAGGTCAGTCAAATCCCCTCAGGATTTATCCTGAAACTCTGTACCACAGTTTATAGATCCTTTGTCAGTGTCAACCATGTGGATGAGTCATGGCCATTGCTTGAGCAATTTGCTCTCTGAGGAAGCCTGAGAGAATGTTTTCTCTCCAGGTGATTCTCCTCAGGCATACTCTACATCATCGATCACTTTCCTTTCTGGCCCCATAATCTCCTTGATCAGAAAACGTGGGCCACAACTGAGTTACATGATGTTACAGCACAGGTTCTCCTATGTCCTGAGAATAGCTAAGATAATTGTACTACTAATTTCTATTGTTTTATTGAAAAGAACAGTTAATCTTTACTTTTTTGATCAATTTTGCATGCCTCTATCTGGTAATCTGAACTATTATTTTGAAAATAGCAACATGTAACATAAACATTGTTGATACCCTATCATCTTGTTTTGAAATTCTGTATTATTTTTATTTTTTATTTTTTATTTTTTAAAAAAATTAAAAATAATTTCAAAACCTAAATTGAAGAACACTGTCAAAAAAAATCCCCCTCAAAATATTCTCAATTCAAACACACTTATGCCATCACTTCTGGTGAAGTAGATGTGGTGGTCTCTTTTGTGAGTGTCTTTACAAAC